GATATGCAGCTATTCTTAATCCAGAAGCTGTTTCTGAGGGTTTAATTGGCATTTCTTTTCCCCCATTAAGTGTTGATGAAATTAATCTAACTCAGAAGGACCCTTCTTCACTTCTAGTTTCTAAGTTCTTGGCAGGCACTTCAGTGTCACACATGTGCTTCTTAAAATGTATATGCACATTTTTGGGTAATCAAACTGTAGACTTGGTATATAAATTAGGATATGTCTGTAAGTAGAGAAAATGCAACTAAACCTGACTCATGTCACTAGAAGGTCTAGCTGCAGGGTGGGCTTTTAGTGTTGGTTTGATTCAGAGATTCATGAAGCTATTGAGGCCCTGCTTTCACTGGTGTTGGCTTCATTTTCCGACTGGATTCCCTCCTGATGGCAGAATAGCTGCAGCAGTTCCAGGCTTCTAATCCACACAGCACACTGTACAAAAGCAGAGCAAGTTGGTTTCTCTGCCAGTCCTCTAGTGAGTCTTTTCTGTCATTTTACTGGCCCAAATTGAGACAGTATGTCCATTCCTGAGTCTTTCCCTGTGTTCAGGGGCATGCACACAGTGATAGGCTTAGACCTGAACTATTGAACTAATGAATAATTAGTGACAAGAGGAATAGGATTGCCCAGAGAAAAATTGGACCACCCAGGATCTTTGGAGGTACCGGCTTCCCGGATGCACTTGAGGCGCATAGGGGAATGGGGATGGGATGGAGACCTGAGTGAAAATTTGGAGGGCTCTTAGGAAGAGGGAGAGGAGGGATGGATGCTGGGTGGGCGACTAACACAATAACTCTTTTTTTTCTTTTTAGGTACATGCAGAGTTTTCTTGAACTTTTGGAATATGAAAATAAGAGTCCTGAGGATCCAAAGGTCTTGAATAAGTAAGTATGGTACCACTTACCTGAAAATAAAAATATATAGGTAAGAAAGATTTTGGTAAATGTAATTCAAGTCATGAAGACTCAGGGAGTATGAATTGGACAAAAGCATTCGTTTTCTTAATGAGTAGTGACTCAACATTGAGTTGCTTTTAAATTTGAGTTAAGAATGTAACACAATACAAAAGTAATAATAACACTTTCAGTTTTGCTTTTATGACCTAATTCTTTAATATCTTATTCAGTTTTGCTTTTATGATCTAATACCTTTACTCAAGGTGAACTGGGCACTCAGTGTAAATACTGCAGTAAATGTTCCATCTAGTGGTAGTTTTAAGAATGCAGTAGCCTTTGTATATACATGAATTTATCTACTCAATCCTTTACAATTAAAAAAAAAAAACTTCAAGAGGATATTACATTTGAGCTCAAAAACTATAGTGGTTTTATTTTGGAGAAGCAGAAAAGAGTGTGTTTCTTATACAGCAACCTGAATTCTATTGCTGCCATTATGCACAGACTGGCAAATTATCATGCTGATGAGATATTTCTGTTTTTCATTTTTATTTATCCCAGGAACACTAACTCTAGCTGTGAGTATGTTTTTCCCCCCACAGAAAAATTAAATATCACTTTCACATTAATTTCTTCCTGTTTATGTATATGTGAGTGGATGCATATGACAGGCCTGTTGTGCTGAGGAATTTCTAAGTATAAACCAGTCCACATAGCTGTGAGACTGAACACCTGACTTAATAGATGTTCCATAAGAAGAACTAGGGAAACAGCATGATATACAAGCAACCTTTGGAGATATTTAACCCAGTCCTCTCAATCCACAGATAAGGAAACTGAGGTCAGAGATGTAAAGTGAGTTACCCAAGATTGTGACCCTTCATAGCAGAGCTGGACCTATAAGTTATATCATATGTTTGAGCCATGAGTAGCTAGGTCTAGTCTAGTTGTAAACTACGATTCAAAGGAAAAACAAAAGCCCTCGCCTATTTTATGCTTTGCTGGGTGTTTTGTCTAATGGATCTGTGAAATGTGGAAGGCAGGGAAGCACTCGGTTAGAGCCCTAGATGCAGCGTTTTCCTTAATATAAGCCACTGCTGTCATTTAAGCTATCAATATTAAATGAATTTGATCTAGGAGCTTTGTTTTCTCAAAAGTCATTAGCTGGTGACCATTTGGCAGAAATCCTAAAACCTAGGGCTGACCACTCTAGCTCCAGACTTTAGAACAGATTTGTAGAAGTATAGTTGGTCTTTTGTATTGGCAGGTTCCACCTCCTTGGATTCAACCAGCCACAGATCAAAAAGATATTTGGGAAAAAAAGCAATAAAAAATAACAATACAACAATAAGAAATAACATAAAAATTTTTTTTTGAGATGGAGTTTTGCTCTTTTGGCCCAGGCTGGAGTGCAATGGCATGATCTCAGCTCACCACAACCTCCGCCTCCTGGATTCAAGTGATTCTGCCTCAGCCTCCCGAGTAGCTGGGATTACAGGCATGCACCACCACACCTGGCTAATTTTGTATTTTTAGTAGATACAGGGCTTCTCTATGTTGGTCAGGCTGGTCTCAAACTCCCGACCTCAGGTGATCCACCCACCTTGACCACCCAAAGTCCTGGGATCACAGGCATGAGCCACTGCGCTCGACAATAATACAGATTTTTAAAATACAGTCTAACAACTATTTACATAGCATTTATATTGTATCAGTTATTATAATTAATCTAGAGATGATTTAAAGTGTCTGAGAGGATGTGACTAGGCTATATGTACTATTTTAGATAAGGGACTTGAGCATCCAAGGATTTGGGTATATCTGCGGGGATCCTGGAACCAGTCCACTGCAGATACTCAGAGACAACTGTACACGATATTAAATTTCTGCTTTGTTTTTCCCGGAGTCTTGTCTCAGTTTCTGGAACAGGTTAGCAGATGCAATTTACGGCCATGAGCCTGCTTTGCATACTGTCAGTGCTGAACCCAGCGTGTGCTTGACCATTGCAATAATAGCCAAGCTCTCACTTTGTAAGTTTTGTAACTTGCCCAGGTTCATGTGGCTAGTTAGGACAGTTGGCATTTGAGAAGGCTGATGTCCTTAGTGAAGGAAGGAGTGAAAGGTGAGTGAATTTCATGGTAGCAGCCTTTTCTGTTTAGCAAGAGGTTGTGTGGGATCACCAGCAGGGAAATCATTTTAGTAAAGCAAAAGTAGCTTAGAGGACAAGCATGTTGATCATTTATGATAGAGTTTACAAGAGTCTGGAAGATTGAGGGAGAATTTTGAGCCATTGAGGTAAGTTTCCCCCCTTCAAATAAGTTGAGGCACTTCTCTACTATAATGAATCGTTTCACTTTAGTAATATTTAACTTACAAATACATTGGAATGAGTATAACATAAAGGAAAAATGTCCATTATAAAATTTTTTGTGAATAATGATGGCCTAATTTCAGAGTTTTACATCTTTATTGTCATTGCATGTATGTATTTGTTGCAGAAGTGTTCCATCATTCAGAAAAATAAGACTACTCAGATAAGTAAAAAGAAAGTCACCCCAATTTCTACTACCAGGGGACAACCACTATTAATATTTTCCTTTCTTCCCTGCTTTTCCCTAGGCAGGCATATATTTATATGTGTAAAATATGTTTACAGACATAACAAGTGTCAACATTATTAATAGTTTCATAATATTCATATTAATAGTCCATCTTCAGATAGTTCATGCGATTTGATCTTCTATCACTAGATTTTAGACTGGTTTGTAGTTTTTGTGCTACTATAAACAATGCTTTAAAGAACAGATTTTAAATACAGCTGTTGGCTGGGCCCAGTGGCTCATTGCATGTAATCCCAGCACTTTGGGAGGCCGAGGTGGGTGGATCACCTGAGGCCAGGAGTTCGAGACCAGCCAGGGCAACATGGTGAAACCCTGTCTCTTTTAAAAATATGAAAATTAGCCAGGTGTGGTGGTGGGCACTTGTAATCCCAGCTAATCGGGAGACTGCAGGAGAATTGCTTGAACCCAGGAGGCAGAGGTTGCAGTGAGCCAAGATCATGCCACTGCACTCTAGCCTGGGCAACAGAGCAAGACTCTGTCTCAAAAATAAATAAATAAATAAATAAATAGTTTTTCGCCTTGTCCAGTTATTTTCCTAGGATCAATTCCTGGAAGTGGAATCATTTTCTTTGGCCTTTTGCTGTATGTTGCCAAATTGTCCTGAGAAATGCGTCAGTTAAGCCCTAAACTCTAGCTGATGCTGATACATGGAGAATAAGCATCACATTGTTTTAATTTGCATTTCTTACTTGTAAGGGTGAAGTTATTGGCTTTTGCGCTTCTTTGGTAAATTTTCCATTGATAGCAGATCCTTTGCCTAGTTTTTTGATGGGGTGCTAGTTTTTTCCTTTTTTAAAGTTTTTTTTTTTTGTTTTTTCACATGTGTCCCTATAGGATTGCTAAAATTCTACATAGTCATATCATTTGTTTCTTCACATTATTTGTTTCTGCCTTTGGTATTAAGCTTAGAACAGCCCTCCTTACCCCAAAATTATATACTTATTCACCTGATTTTTTTCTGTTATCATTTCTGTGATTTCACCCTTTTGCATTTTTAATCCAGTAGTTGGTTTAAGGCTTGAACTTAAGATGTGACTTAAATTGTTAGCCTGCTGTTCCACTTAACTTGATTATTAGCTTAATTGTTTACCTACTGATTTGCAATGTCACTTTCTCAATATGCTCAATTTTTATATATACATATTCACTCACTCATAGGCCTGGTTCTAAACTTTTTATTTAGTTCCATTGACTGACTTGTCTTCTGCCATTCTTAATGTATTTTCCTCTATGCATGTTTATAATAATATGCTAGACACTTGAATAGTTTGTTTTAATTGCCTGTGTTCTATCTACATTTCATCGCTATATTTTACTGCTGTGAGATATTTATTTCAAAATTTTGCTTTTCAACTATGTGACATTATTTCTTTACTCATGAAAGCTATTGCTTTGAGATTTCATTAGTCAATCCTTGGCGATTTTGGGGGGATTATCCTCATGTTCTCAGGAGAAATATTGATATGTTCTACAATTCTTTATTCAACTTTTATAGAACCTATATTATATGTAATCGCTTATCCAAAAAGTCAGTGGCTTCCTAAAAGGGTATTTGAGCATATTTTTCTATACTAGAACCTTTTACTTTTTGCAACTCTGAAAGAAGAGTTTTGTAGAAAGAAAGTTTCAAGCAAAAAGTTTGTTCATACTTTAGTTTCTTGTGAGTAGGTCCTTGTAGTATGTAGTAAGAATAATGTCTCTGCTTATAAAAATATCAGCTGACAACTTAGTCTGGGGACAGAGGTGGGAAGTCTGTGCATCAGCCCATGAGATATTAAGACTGACCACGTTTTGTTTCCCTCTCACACAGCTTTCTACAAGTTCTGATTAAAGTCAGAAATAGACACAATGACGTGGTTCCTACAATGGCACAAGGAGTGATTGAATACAAGGAGAAGTTTGGGTTTGATCCTTTTACTAGCACTAACATCCAGTATTTTCTGGATCGGTTTTATACCAACCGCATCTCTTTCCGCATGCTTATTAACCAGCACAGTAAGTTGGGTTTTGTTGGTCCAGTTTTGAAAAGGTAACCAGAGTGATTTCTCCCAAATGTATTCCTGTTGTAAATTTACTGGCCTGCATTTTTGGTTGTAGAAATTTCATTTCTAGTTTAGTTTTTCCTAAGTGAGTCCTAACCATTAAAAAGTGATTAATTCATATTCTTGGTTAAAAGAAATTTTTGAAAGGCTTTTATGATGCTCACATTAGAGACAGGACAACTGCCTACCTTTTAAACCTCTGCTGATACGGTCCTGATGGGGATGAGGCAGCCGAGCCTTCATCTCTGAATATTTTCATGTATCTCAGATTGTATTCTTTTCTTTATCCAGGATGTTACATGTTTTCCTTTTTAGTTTTAAAAACAGTGACACTGGGAATATTGGATTTGATGTTGGCAATAGAAGCCATCAGTTCTTTACTTCGCAGTAATCAGTGAAGTCAGATTAAGCCAGACTGTCAGCCCATAATCCTGTATTGAGTTTTAGTCTGCTCTTTAGGGTACTAAGGTGCTAAGCAGATAGGAAAAAAAGAAAAAAACCTAGAATTCCCTCCACACAAAAAACTTTTTGGCTCATCTTCAGCACTGTCTCTTTGACTGAGTTTATAATCCTTAAGGAAAAGCATCCACATGTCTAGAGCATAATTCACCCTCTTTGCTGAATCACAAAATGGACAAAGCATCTTTATTTTACTAATTTGATTTATTTGGATAAGTGAATGTTATAAAACTATTAGATGTAGCTTTATATTAAATGTATATATTCAAAATGGAAATGTATGACAATTTACGGGAATAAAAGAACCTAAATACTATTCAGCTAAACTACTTAGATAACTCCAGTTACTTTCTGATCTAAATACACATGTACACATATATACAGACATGTTTTTAGATCATTAATTCAGCCTACACACCTCTGTTTTTCTTCCCCTTAGTCAGTTGAAACTTTATTAATTGGCCTAATGCCTGTATTTATCATTTTTCATAGTTTAAAATCTCCCCCATTTTATTTAGGCATCCTTCTTTTGTTAGTCGCAATTTTTGCTTGATTTAAAAATAAGAACACCTATATTTGGATGCAGATTGCTTTTTTTCTTTGGGGATTCTTTTGGCTTTTATTCAGAAACAAAATTTTGCAAATCTTTTATGTTGTGAAATTATCTGAGTGTATTTTAAAAAATACTTGAGCAAGTATTGTTCATGTACACATTATTGAAGCTTAATCTCCATGGGGGAGGCATCTGAAATGCCACCAGCGAAGACACTTTGCAGGCTTCTCCAAATAGTATAGACCATGTGTTCTAAATATTTAATGAAAGTTGGAATAAATGTCTGGAGTAGTACTAGGTGGGTATACTTGACTAAGGATGAAAGTAAGTTTCTTCCCCTGCATCATATTGAGAAAGAATGGGTTGGGCACCTGGCACATGTCACTGCTTGAGAACCTGCTGGCTGCAATAGACAGGCCTTAAAGCACATCCTCCTCCTTCGTTGGCCAATAAAAGTCGCTCACCCATCAATTGTGTGTATTCCATTGCTGTAAGTTGCTGTGGATGCAAAAATGATTTTTACAAGTAAGAGATCCTTTCCAAACATAAGCCCCTATATTTCCCTGCATGACCAGCCCAGCCTGCTGTGTTTTAATCCCCTCCCTTTCCTTTTGTGTTCGTCTAGCACTTCTATTTGGCGATGACACAAACCCTGCTCATCCTAAACACATAGGAAGTATCGATCCCACCTGTAATGTAGCGGATGTGGTGAAAGGTAAGGAGACCATTGTAATGGTATCGATTGTAGTTCAAATGGGACTGTGGTTTATTTTAAGCAGCTTGGCTATAGGGTTATGTTGCAGTGCAGTCTGCTGATTCATCAGGTCACTCTGGGCCCAAGCCGCTTGATCCAGATGAAATGTTCTTTCTAGGCTGTTCAGGAAAGATGCATAATTGGTAATGCTCAAAATGTGAGTTTCTACTTTATTGATTAGAGTTTCATTTGTAGTTCTTTCTCAGACAGTAAACATTTGAGATTCTGATTGCCACTGTTATCTAAAATTCTCAGAGAATCCAAATTCTTATCATAAAATTAGGCTGAATTCACATCTATAAAATTTAAAGATTTAGAATCTATGTGGCATGTAAGCTTTATGGGTTCATTGGACATTATGCTAGATATTGTTCCAGTACCCACTGGGAAGAACCAAGCCCTATATCCGTAAGTCCCTGGTACCCAGACACTTTGAGTTTGAACAGCAGTTTTCTCATTATTCATTTAAGATAAATGCTATCTCCAAGAAACCTTCCTGGTTGTGAACGATCCACCAGGGACCTCTTCAGTTTTCTTTAGTGTTATGATTACTTTGTGTAACCTCAGATCCCCAAATTGTCCCTTTCTGCAGATTGTATCTCCTATGTTGGCCTTTATCTCCCTTCTCTAAACACTCACAAGTTTCATGGCTGCAATTCTCTGATCTTCATCAAGGATCTTCGTTGCTCTTTAGCAGTCATAGCAAAGAAAACCTCTGTAATTTGTTTACCCTGAGCATTCCCAAACCCAGGGAGGAGGACCAGACCTGTTGGTTTTAGCTTATCCTAGGCTTGTCAGCTGCCCTGGCCTCCGTTGGGTCACAACACATTTACTTACGTTATTTCAGTTACAAGGTGAATCAGCCCAGCCTCAGCTCTCCAGGAAGCCTATTGGTTGCTCTCTCACAAGATAACTTTGTGGTTGATCGGAACCTCCAAAGGCCTCCGGGGGCAAGGAGAAAAGGATCAGTCTTGTCATAGCTTATATGTTCATTACGCCCTAACTCAGTACCTTTTATAAAACAAAAACTTGGTTCAGACAGTTGATTTCCCCTTTGAGAAAAGGGCACAATTTAGAAAGCAAAAGTGAATTATAATATATGGCATGTGTGTCTTTGCTCTTGAACTATAACCAATTTGAGGTCAGGGTTTGTGTCTTAAATTTGTTTTGTAGCTTGCATAGAACCAAGTGTAGTGCTTGTGTAGGTGATTAATAAATATTCCTTGGTTTGATAAATTTTAAATCTTTTGAGAATGTACTTTCAAAAATAGCTTTATTGAGATATAATCTCATATGATAAACTTCACCATTTAAAGTGCTCAATTCAGTGGTTTTTAGTGTATTCACAGAGTTGTGCAACTATCACCACAATCTAACTGTAGAACATTTGCATCACCCCAGAAAGAAACCCTGGACCCATTAGCAGTCACTCCCTTCTACCCTTCTCTCTAGTCCTGGACAACCACTAATCTACTTTCTGACTCTATAGATTTTCCTATTATAGACATTTCATATAAACAAAACAATATGATATGTGGTCTTTGGTAACTACTGGCTTCTTTCACTCAGCATAACATTTTCAAGGGTCATCGATGTGATAGCATCTTTCAGTACTTTTTTTCTTTTTATGGCTGAAAAATATTCGATTGTATGAATAGAACACATTTTATTTACCTTTTCATATTAGCTGGTGATACTAGACATGGTTAAGTAACCTCTTTGGGCCTCACATTCTTCATCTGTAAGGTGATGCTCTTGGTAATTAACCTATATTGTAGAGTTAAATGGGTTCATGTATGTACAACCCCTAAAGCAATGCTAGTGCACAGTAAAGGCTGTAGACAGGTTTACTTCCAGTAGACAGTCCTTGGGTGTCAGACACATCATTTGGCTTCTCATTTATGCCATTGATTCTATAATAGGTTGGTGCTTTCATTTGTTTCTGGCATAAATTATAAAATATTTTTAGAAGTCATTTCAGGCTTTTATAAGACAGTTGGAAATTTGAAGACTGGATATTTGACATTAAAAATATGTTAACTTTTTAGGTACGATAATTGGTATTTGGTTGTGTTTTTTATTTTTTATTTTTTGAGACGGAGTTTTGCTCTTGTTGCCCAGGCTGGAGGGCAATGGTGCGATCTCAGCTCACCCACAACCTCCGCCCCCTGGGTTCAAGCAATTCTCCTGCCTCAGCCTCCCTAGTAGCTGGGATTACAGGCATGTAATATCATGCCCGACTAATTTTGTATTTTTGGTAGAGACAGGGTTTCTCCATGTTGGTCAGGCTGGTCTTGAACTCCCGACCTCAGGTGATCCGCCTGTCTCGATCTCCCAAAGTGCTGGGATTACAGGCATGAGCCACCATGCCTGGCCTGGTTGTATTTTTATAAAGGAATACTAGCTTTAAGAGAGGTATTTTAAAATATTTTCCGTGAGATTTGCTTCAAAATTATACACAGGGAGAGAAGTGAAAAGGATTGGGCATTTGCTGAAAACTGTTGAGGCTGTTGATGGGCACATGGGGTTCATTATACTATGCTGTGTATTTGGGTATGTGTTTGAAATTCTTCAAGATAATTGTATTAGTCCATTCTTATGTTGCTATAAAGAACTACCTGGGACTGGGTAATTTATAAAGAAAAAAGGTTTAATTGACTCACAGCTCTTCAGGCTGTACAGGAGGCATGCCTGGGGAGGCCTCAGGAAACCTACAATCATGGCAGAAGGGCAGAGGGGAAGTAAGCACATCTTCACATGGTGGCAGGAGAGAGAGAGAGAAGCAGGAAGTGCTACATACTTTTAAACAACCAGATCATGTGGGAACTCACTATCATGAGAATAGCAAGGGGGAAATCCACCCACATTATCCAGTCACCTCCCACCAGGCCCATCCACCAACGCTCAGGATCACTATTCAACATGGGATCTGGGTGAGGATGCAGAGCCAAATCATATCAAAGAAGTTTTAAAAACACTCATTTTTATCATCTTATTGTTTCTCTAAAAATAAAGTCTTTCACTAATTTTTAGGGAACTTTTAACTAAGAACCAGTACAACCAGATAAGTAACAGTTTTATGAAACTGTTACCACGTCTATAGAACAGAGAGATTAAGTGGTACTACAGTGAGTCAGAGGCATCATAGGAGAGTGCAAGGAGGAATCTGCTGTGACTTGACTCTTAACGTGAAAAGAATCTAATCATTTTATGGCACTTACTCTCTGTGTTGCTCTTCTCTCGTATTTAGTACGTATTATCTGGCCTTGTCGTTATTTGTACTTTATTTTATTGGTTTTTAAGTTGGAGTCTCACTCTGTTGCCCTGACTGGAGTGCAGTGGCACAATCTCAGCTTACTGCAACCTCTGCCTCCTGGGTTCAAGTGATTCTCCCTCCTTAGCCTCCCAAGTAGCTGGGATTACAGGCACCCACCATCATGCCTGGCTAATTTTTGTATTTTTGTAGAGACAGGGTTTCACCATGTTGGCCACATTAGTCTTGAACTCCTGACCTCAGGTGATCCGCCTGCCTCGGCCTCTCAAAGTGCTGGGATTACAGGTGTGAGCCACTGTGCCCGCCCTATTTGTACTTATTTTTATCTCTCTAAGTAAGGTGTACATTTCTAAAGGTCTGGAATTACTCTTACACGCTTTTATATCACTCCTCTTAGGGTCAGAAGTTTTGTACCAAAATGTAGCTAAAGATCGTATGAAGAATGGTTCAATACATAGTTCATAGAAAAAACCCTGGAAGTTTATGCTAACGTCTACCTCATAGCTTCCCATTTGCTTTGTCCCTTTTAGTTACAACTTTGACCCTGAGCCACAGCCCTGTCCTTTTTCTTCCCTCTTCCTGTACTCACAGCTTTATCTTCAGTCTTTCTCCTTCCCTTATTAACTATATTATACCCATTAGTGTACTGTGAACAAAGTTTACTACATCCTCTTATTTAATCATTCCTGTCACTCACTTATAACTAAAGCTTGGAGTTCCTGGTAAAGCCCTATCCAATGATAGGCATTTCCTGTGCCCTTCTGTGACTCAAAATTCCACTTCCCCCAACACACACACACACACACACACACACACACACGGGCATGTACACACATGCAAATCCCACCCCCACATTCACGGGGTAAGCAGGAAGGACTGGCATGCTCCCCATTTCCCACGCCTCTCTCAAACCATGTTTTTCATTTCCCAACAGCATCTTCCCTTAAAGAAAAAAAAACAGTGGGGATGGTTTCAGGTTCTGAAAGTGTATAACCCTCTAAAGTAGCAGCCATATAATCAACTTTTCTGACATCCTTCATTCCCTTCATAAATGATGCATACTGTTACCTACAGTACACTAAATACTCTTGGTTGATATGTGTTTTCTGGAATGCTTTTGTGCTTCTGCTTCCACCTGGTAAGGTGCATGCTTACTAAGGGTTACTTATTTGTACCCAAGCCATTGGTGTAAGTGTAAACTGAAGAAATGTGCATATAAAAAAGAGACTTATTTCCATTAAAACCAAGTTGAATGCTTTGGAAGGACTCTTAAAAATGTAATAAAATTACTGTGAGTAAGAAAACGATTACGATTAGATTACAGGGCAACATAGAGTAAAAATCTTACCCGGAATTCGTACCCAGGTTGCTTCACAAATATCTTTCAGTTTATTACACTTTAAAGAAATAGTAATTGTAATTCATAGATGTACGTGATATTGTTCATCCAAGGAAGACAAACTGGAGCCTCAAACTGATCCATGTTCAAAGGAAAGGCTTTGACCTTACATGAAAATATTGACAGAGAAATAAATTGCTTGTTCAAATATGCATTTTAAGTTAACGTTTATGTTAGTAATCACATTTTATGGTTTCCCACTTTACTCAACATTTTTGTTAATTGTCCAACTCCTTTTCACAGTTAGGAAGGTTAAGACGACTAATGCCCTATTACTAAAATAATAAA